CTCCCACAAGATCCCGTCACTGTGTACGAGAAGGTGGTGGTTGTTGGCGACAAGGTCATCTCAAAGTACTTCAGCGTGCCCTTCCCGCGCTATCAGCCGCTTGCAGTGGTGCAGGATCCGCCCGGTGGCCTGTCCACCGTCACGTACTCCAAGGCGTACAGCAACTACTTTATGAAGAGCCACACGCACGAGGAGTACCACGGGTTCTACTTCACCAGGGGCCTTGCTCCCGTCGAGGTGAAGACGGGCGTGCAGCAGTGCACCGGTCTCGGTGCTGCCGTGTGCACCAAGGTGTCGGACACGGAATCCACCCCATTCAAGATCAGCCTTGACCAACTCGATGTAAGAACGCGAGAGAGAGAGAGAGTGTGTGTGTATTTGTGTGTGTGTGTGTGTGTTTGTCGTGTACATGTAGCACAGGCTTGGGTGTTGTTGTGTGCGCGCGTTATTGTGGACTTGTATGTGTGTGTGTGTGTGTGTGCTTGTGTGGGCGTGAGCTTGCCTTGCTTGCCACCCCCAAACTCACCCGCTCACTATTGGTCCTTTGCTACCGCCTCGTGTACCTGGCCCTTTCTTGCTCCTTCAGAGCATTAACAGCAAGAATCCGGACGACAACTACAACTCTGAGCGCGTGTGGTCGTTTGCAATTGAGCTGACGACGTCCGATGACGTGATGACGGCCGGCGAGAAGTCGGACATGTTCCTCGTGCCCGCCCTCAACGTCGTGTGGCTGGAGACGGAGGAGGTCTCGTTTGACGTGGAGCAGTGCCAGGCGGCCAAGGAGACCAAGGTCAAGTGGAGCCTCGAGGGCCAGGAAAACAGAGAGGTGCTGAGCTGGGTGTCTGCGTTTGAGATTGAGAACAAGGAGCTGCCAGACCTTCGCAAGCTGCTCGCTCTCGCCGAAGAGCCGCCAGGTGATGATGACGACGAGACGGAGGAGGATAGGGCAGAGAAGATTGCTGAACTGAAGCGCGCGATCAAGGCGTGGGAGAGCAACCTGGACCGCAACAAGGAGGTGCGGCAGAAGGCGGCCGACGGGCTGCTGGAGCCCGTGCAGAACATGTGGGCAAAGGGCAACGCCGAGTTTGACTGCTTGCCGAGCATTGCGCCCAACAAGGACCCGAAGGAGGCGGCCAAGATCCAAAGCGAGCTGTCGCGAACCCAGGTGTGCAACGCGTTTGACGTGGATCGCATTGCCGATAAGGCGAAGAAGGGCATCTCGCTCGCCCCACACGACGACATTGACAATGCAAAGGACTTGGACGGCCTTGCCGCGTCAGACCAGGACAAGCAAGACCTGCGCAACATCGACACAATCAAGTTCTCTGGCGGCGGATCCACGTACACGTTTGAGTACGACTTGTCACGCGGCGACAGCGTGATTGGCGGCAGCTCGCGAACAGCGGAGGTGTCGGTTGGTGTAGCTTTTGAGTTTGGGTTCAAGGTGTTTGGCGTGGGCATGAGTTTCGAGATGGCGACTGGTTACAACTACAAAGGGACGGTTGCTGACGAGTATGAGGTGGGCGTGTCGACAGAGGGCATCCTTTCCGTGACGCTCGGTGACCCGGACCCATTTGACGTCTTTGACGTCGGCGTCTTCCTGCACCCCGACTACGGCACGTTTGTCTTCGCCACCTTCTCGGGTCAGTCGTCGTGCCCGCACGAGCCCAACACCGTGCAGTTGGAGAAGCCGAGTGTGAGTGTTCTGAAGCGGCCAGAGGCGCCCGTGCTGCCCGGCGAACCCGCCGTCTTTGAGCTCCTGCTCAAGAACGATGGTCCAGTCACATCTGACTTTAACGTGAGTGTCGTGATTGTTGTTGTTGTTGTTGTTGTTGTTGTTGTTGTTGTTGTTGTTGTTGTTGTTGTTGTTGTTGTTGTTGTTGTTGTTGTTGTTGTTGTTGTTGTTGTTGTTGTTGTTGTTGTTGTTGTTGTTGTTGTTGTTGTTGTTGTTGTTGTTGTTGTTGTTGTTGTTGTTGTTGTTGTTGTTGTTGTTGTTGTTGTTGTTGTTGCTGCTGCTGCTGCTGCTGTTGTTGTTGTTGTTGTTGTTGTTGTTGTTGTTGTTGTTGTTGTTGTTGTTGTTGCTGCGGCTGCTGCTGTTGTTGTTGTTGTTGCTGTGGCTGTGGTTGCAGTGGTTGCGATTGTGTTGATGTGTTTGGACTTGCATTGCATGCTTGCATTGTGGAGATTCTTGTCTTGATACGCTCAGCAACAGTTGGGCAGACACGTGTCCTGCACGTTCCCACATACTTACACTTTGTTCTCACAATCATCTCATCTCCCCTCCTCCACTCCTCCCAACTCTGTTCCCCGCCCTACCCCACATGCGCAGCTGTTCTATGTGTCATGGCACAACCAAGATGGCCTTGAAGTTGTGGCGAACGGACAGGCGCTGGAAACAGCGCTCCTCTTTGGGAACTTTCCAGCCAACTCGGCAAGGTACATCACCATCACCGTGAACCAGGGCCCAAGCAAGTTCAAGTATGACCCAGTTGCCATTGGCTGGCGATCGCTGTGCGAGGCCAACAGGCATCCCGACAACGGTTACATTCCAGACGAAGTAACAAGCGTGGAGTACGTGTACTTGGAGGCTGAGTTCCTGCAGCCGTGCAGCCCCGTGAAGCTTGTTGGAGAGATTGGCGAGTCTGGCGCGTTCACCCTCAACCAGGAGACGATGGAGCAGGACTACAAGCCTGGCCAGATCCGCGTTGTCGCCTTCAACCCGGACCACGCCGAGCGCACGTGGCTGGAGGACGATCGCCTGGAGAAGGTCGTCATCGAGTTCAAGCCCGCCAACTCGTACGTCTGGCTGCTGGCCCGCGATGAGAACGGCGATGCGCTGGACATTCGCGAGCGCGAGAACGAGTACGGCTACATCACGTCGTGGTGGGACGCGTCCACGCTGCTTGAGGGCGACTACCACCTCCGCATCCGCGCGCAGTGCCAGGCGTCCATCAACGAGATGCCGGATGGCATTGACGAGAAGCTGTCGTCCCTTGCGCTTGGCGTTGTTGACCGCGACCCGCCGGTCGTGTTTGGGTTCCCGGAGCCCGCGGATGGGGAGTTCTTCCCTGGCGACGAGATCTCGTTCCAGTTCAACGAGGACGTGGAGTGCCGGCAGCCGTTCATCTTCCAGGTGTCGCTGACGGTGGAGGACTACGACCGCGACTTCAACAACAACAACATGGTGATTGTGTGCGAGGGCCGCAAGATCTCCATGTCCCTTCGCCGCGGGTTCCGCTACGACGAGGTCAACGGCCTCACCGCCACTGTCGTCATCGAGAACGTCAAGGACCTCAACGGCAACCAAATGGAGTTCCCACCCGAGCACACGTTCACTTTTGCAGAGCTGAACCTGGCGGATGCCAGCGTCACGCTGAGCGGCCTCGTCGTCAACGTCCCATATCAGGACGTGTATGCCGACACCTCGTCGCAGGAGTACGCAGACTTTGCTGGCGTGCTAAAGACGGAGCTGGCTACGGTTGTGGACACGGACCCGTCTCGCGTGACCATCACGGGCATCTCGCCCGTCGACGCGACCAACTACAACTCTGGCATCACCGTCTCGCTCCGTTTCACGCCTGAAGGAACAGACACAGCAGCTACTGGCCGTCGCCGTCGTGCCACCACTTCGACTGCCACGGATCTCGCCAGCCTGCTGCAGAGCCGGCTGCAGAACGCCACGTACACGGAATCGCTCTCTGTCCTCAACTCTGCCTCGCTGGACGAGGCAGCGACAGTTGATGTGGAGCCGTCTGCGACTGACACGGCACAGAGCGACGCGGCAAGTGTCAACACCGGTACAGCAGCTTCAGCATCTGTGGCCACAGACTCATCGTCTTCGACTGAACTGTGGAGCGGGATCGAACACGGTAGTGTGATTGCGTTTGTGTGTGTGTGTGTGTGTGTGTGTGTGTGTGTGTGTGTGTGTGTGTGTGTGTGTGTGTGTGTGTGTGTGTGTCG